GGTCTCAGCTTCCCTACTCCCTCCTCCTCCCCCTCCCTTTCCTGTTGATAGTGGCCAAGGGAATGCTGGGAAATGTAGTTCCTTCCCTGCTCCAGGGCCAGCACTGTAGGCAGGGAGCTGGCCAAGGAACTACAGTTCCCAGGGCCCCGTGGGTTCTTAGCTCCCACACTGGATCCCTGCTGCTCCCAGGCTCCTTTTCTGCAGCGCTGCAAGAGGGGAGGAAGGGAGTGTTATGGGCCCCTTGTGAGCTTGGGCCTGGTGCTATGGTGTCATTGGTGCCATGGTAAATCCGGTACTGGAAAGGGCACCGGCAAGTTCCATGTGCAAACGAGCTGTGTATGTAGGTACAGAGTTGAAAAAGTTATGGTTCACAACCCCCAAAGCCCCTCTTCAGTCTTGTCCCCAAGGCTGTGCTGTTTTCTCATTGCTCCCCCGGTGGGGAATGGAGAAGGGGATTCTGCAGCCCCCCTTCTCTCATTGACCCCCCCTTTTGTATTTTCATTTAAAGCAGAAAATAAATATTTTGGGGCTTATTTATTCTTTTAATCCAAGTTTTTTTTGCTCCTAGGAAAATGCTCCTTGTGCCAGAAAAAAGCCCACATTGGCTGAAAAATCATTCAACTAACCAGAAAAGCAAACAAACAAAAACGTAAAACAATAAATCAAACAAAAGTGGTGGGTTCTAGTGCCAAAGGCCAAGAGATCCTGGCCCTCCTGCTTGACTGTGTCTCTGACAGTGGTGGAAGAACGCGGAATCCGTGTTGTGGCCTGTATTATGCAGGAGATCAGACTACGACAGTGTTTCTCAAACTGGGGTCGCCGCTTGTGTAGGGAAAGCCCCTGGCAGCGCAGATCCCGCCCGTACCCGCTGGGAGCAGCAGGAGGAAGGTGATGGCCAGGCTGGGGGTCATGTCTGCGGCCGGCGGCTCGTTCCCCAGGCGGGATGGGAAGCTGAAGCCAGGCGCTGGCTCTGAGCGGGGTGAGCGGCCTGCGGCTGGGCTATGAACAGGGCCCCAGGAACAGGGCCGGCTCCAGGCACCAGCAAAGGAAGCAGGTGCTTGGGGTGGGGAATGGAAAGGGGCGGCATGTCCTCATCTTCGGTAGCAATTTGGCGGCAGGTCCCTCAGTCCCTCTCGGAGCGAAGGACCCGCCGCCGAATTGCCACTCTGCCACTTGGGGCGGCAAAAAAGCTGGATGGTCTGATGCAAACCCCAATGCGCTTGTCCCTTTTACACTGACAGACGCTGTCCTGTGAGTCTGACACAGACACAGGCCCCGGGAGAGCCAACGTGCCAGGTCTGCGAGGGGAGAGCGACTCAGAACAGGACACACTCCAGATTGGGGCTCACTGATGAAGCGAGGGATCTCTGCACCGCAGGCCCAGCGGGGCTCTGGGCAGGAAGGGGAGACACATTGCCCGGGAACAGAAGGGTTAAAACTGACGGGAGGTTTGTGTTACAATCACCCAGTTGACAGTCTCCTCTCCAAGCCCAAAACAGTGTGTGTGTCACTGCTGCCTCCGAGCGGCTGCCAGGAGAAGGGCGATTCCGCAGCCTGGGTTTTTGTATGATCACAAACCAGTTTCGTTTCACTGTGTCTCTCACACAGTAATAGCGGGCGGTGTCCTCGGGCTTCAGGCCGGTCATTTGCAGATACAGCTCACTCTTGGAATCATCCCTGGAGATGGTGAATCGGCCTTTCACTGAATCAAGGTAGTCTGTACTCCCATCGGTGTATATAATAGCGACCCATTCTAGTCCCTTCCCGGGAGCCTGTCGGACCCAGTGCATGTAGTAGCTGCTGAAGGTTAAGCCGGAGGCTTTGCAGGAGAGGCGGAGAGAGTCTCCGGGCTTTTTCACATCCCCTCCGGACTCCACCAGCTGCACCTGGGACCAGACACCTGAGAATAGAGACAGGACATTAATATCGGTATAAAAACAGCGATAACACAAAATTCTTCTAACTCTGCCAGTTATTCAGAGGAGGAAAATACCTTCCAACGCTGCTACAGCGAAAATTACAAGGAGCAAAAATCCCATTTTCCCGGGTGCTGGAGGGGAAAGTTCTCAGGGGACTGGCTGGTCACTGCACAGACCCAGGGGCTGCAGATTGTGTCTCTGGGTGCAGCCTGGGCAGGGAGAGGCACAGATTTAAACAGGAAACTGTCTCCCTCATTTGCATGCCCCCGCTTTATAAGAGACACCCACTCCTGCTGCCAGTCATCTGACTGATTCGCCCCAGGGCTCCGGGTGCGGGAGTCAGACTGTCCCGTCCTGTGTATCTGTGCAGCACCGGGCACAGGGCGCTGGGTCCTCCTGACACTTTCTGACCCCTGGGAGGAATGACCAGCTCCCTGCGGTGACTGTATTTCCTCACCCAGGAACTGAGGGCCTGGCTATTGTGAGGTGACGTTGCGGATTGGGGGGACTCAGCTCTGAAGCCCCGTTCCATGTGCACAGGGGCCATGCAACGTCTGGTCAGGGGGGTCAGTGTCTGGGGAGGGGTCGTGTCCCAGGGATCCATTGGGCTGCGCCACCCGCTGGAGAGGGAAGATTTCCCAGGGCGCTGGGAGGGATTTGGGATGGAAGCCCCTTTCCCTTTCCAGCAGTGACCGGCTACATTGAAATGATCCATGACACTAGGGATGGGATCTGAGCAAGCCTGGCTCGTGCTTTGCACCAGGTCTGGGTCCCGCCTGTGGGTGCAGGTGGGAGAAGCTGGGGGGCGGAGTCTGAGGACGGAGTTAAGGTTTTGCAGTGAAGCCTCCTTGACATTAGTGGGCCGAGAGCGACGTGTCTGGGAGTTTTTCTTTAGGGGAGAGTCGAGGGAGGATTCAGGCTACAGTGAAGGAAGATTATTATGTGCGGCTCATATTTATATTCGTGTTTATATTCCTGTTCCCAGTCACACTCCACTTCCCATTTACACTCCGATTGTAAACTCGGTGGGACTGAGAGAGGTTTATGGTCTGTGTTTGTACCGTGCCTAGGACTCTGGGAGCCTAGACTATAATTAAGGACATAAGAAAGGCCAGACTGAGTCAGACAAAAGGTCCATCTAGCCCAGTATCCTGTCTCCCGACAGTGGCCAATGCCAGGTGCCCCAGAGGGAATGAACAGAACAGGGAATCACCAAGTGATCCACCCCTGTCGCCCATTCCCAGCTTCTGGAGAACCTAGGCACTAGGACCACAACCAGCGCCAAATCTATAACCGTTAAGCATCATCATCAAGATCATTTACTTAGTTAATTATTAATAAGCAATAAAGTGTAGACAGAAGCTTTCTCCTGGTTGTGTTTAAAGAACTTGTGTGTTATGAATACTACATGATTTTAAACCATCCCCAGGATGTAATATTGAGGGATAACAACAAACAAAAACAACAACAATATTTCTATTCCCACTGACTGTCAGACAAGTATCAGCATTCACACTGAAACACAGATCTCCATTCCCGTTACCGCTCATGTTCCCTTTCATATCCCCACACACTGGAGAGAGAGAGAGAGAGAGAGAGAGAGAGAGAG